AACGAAGACTAAACACCGCTATGGTATCGGGAGTAGTCCCCCCCCACCCCGCTTGTATACACACGTCCCTGTACATATTACACACCTGATCCGCCACAGAAGGCAGGTACATGACATACATTTTACAGACCTATTCGCGAAAAGAGCTGTTTCCCTCGTCCCCTTCCTCTGTCATTTCCACCACACGTTTGGGCTGTGGCGGCCATCATACACAGTGCACGGGGATTTCGAGCAACTAAAACAAAGTGATTAAATGAAGGGGTAACTTCGGCGCAGTCACGAAAACAGAAGAGTATCCTGTGGATGCTATCACTGGTGGTAACCCCGTCTGCGGTGTGGCTGGTTAGTAGAGAGATAGAAACAGATCTCAGGTGTGTGCATTGCAATTGGCCATACAAATCGGCCCGCCATCTGTGGTGGGAATGCCCAGCCTCAAAACGGGTGTGGAAGTGGTGGCCGATACATTGGGAGCAAATGCGGGGGAAGGGGGTGAAGTGGGATGAAGCCTGGGTTCTACTCGGCTTTCTACCTGAAGGTGTCCAAGGCACAAAGGGCTGGGGCTATATAGCCCATGGAGTGCGAGGCCTAATCTGTGAGATTATCTGGACCGATCGAAACAAGGCCAGATTCCATGATAGAACCCTGGCCGACACAGAAATCAAAAGACTGATAAGGAGGGGCCTGAAGCAGGCAATCAGGGTGGACTGGAGAAGGGAAGCAAGGGAAGGGAAGGGCAGTAAGGAACAACTGTACTGGGCAAAAAATAACCAGCTGGCGGCAGTTCATGAGGAGAGAGGCTTGGTTCTCTCAAGATGGATCCAAGAGGGAAGTTAGGAGGTGAAAGAGGTACRAACCAGGGCACTCGGTTYGTGCCGACCGCAGGAGGTCACATAGGGGAGGAGGGTGGCAGAGTACCACTGTTACTAGGAACCTAGGTTCCAACCAGCGGAGATAGGCTGGTATGAGGCCGGGTAGGCCTCTGTACCATAGTTACAGTAGGAACAGAGATGTAGAATGGTTTGCATTTGGGTTAATAAGACTGAAACAGAGGACGTAGAATGGCAGTCAGGACGAAGTARTAGGCAGTTAAAATKAAAAGGAAGTCGGCTGGATATCTGAGACGGACAGAAAAGCTTGGGAAAGGTAAGGTCGTGCTATAAAGTCTAAGTCTGAGAATCTGAGAACAGCAGGAATGGTAGAGCCGCAGTCCTAGACTGTAAGCTAAACTGGCTGATGCTGCCAGGGTAACTCCGGGTTGAATTGTGAGGTCCCCGGCCTCGACTGATTAAATTTGGTATAAATGCATTGTTAGAAAAAGAAAAAGAAAAAAAAACAGTTTGTAGTTGCACTTCAGGCAATCCCCCCCCCCCCTTTTCCCGAAACGTAGGTCATATACATTCAGCATTACCGGCCCTTTTGACTCAAGTGCAATTACAAACTCAAACCCTGACTGAGCCGTAGTTTTCTCTTAAATTAATTTATACGGAAACCCATCTTACAAAAGAAAAGAGGTAAACTGCCCATCAGGCTCCGCATTACCCCGCCGCAACCTATTATCCGCCCTCAATTCCTTGCAGCTCTCCTACCGACATAACGGGTCCTCCACAATCTGCCAGCTGTCTTCCACAACCCATCCACTTCAGCCCCACCGCTCTCTCTTGTYTTCCTCCTTCCTACCCCACATGGTTAACGAGGATCAGCCATACCTCCGAGTGTGTTTTTCCACCTACTCAGCAATTCATCGATTTGAACTCCATCCATTCATCATTCATCGTGTTGATCATTCTGTCCCCACCGCGAGTTCTAATCCCTCCCATCTTTTTTCGATATCAACAAGAAACGTGACTGTTATATATATATATATATATATATATATATATATATATATCGTCGTACATCAGTCTGTTCTGCTTTCAGCAACGATTGAAGGTTGATGCCTCAATTTCAATCCGCCGTTTCGCCCCCGCGGTCGWCATCCCAACATCATCATCTCTGAAGTCACAAGCCGATGTTGGCTTCCTTGAGCAGGCCGGCAATCGTGCTGGCTAATGAGCTCATGGTTGGCCTAGACCTGTAGTCMTCCGCTACGCATTCCCCCACCAACCACAATATCTCAGTCACGATGTKACGGAACGGCAATCCCGCCGCCTGATCCAGCAAGCAAGGTTCCAGAATCTCGTCCCGCAGAACCCCTGATTTACCCCTATGGCAGCTGCCTAGAAGAGGCTTCGCCCAGTCCACAAGCGTCAGCATACCCTCGCCAGCCGGTGCCCTTGTCACGGCCTTCCTTCCCGTGAGCAGCTCCAGTGCGATCACGCCGAAAGCGTAAACGTCCGTCTTCGCCGTCAGGGCCCCCAACAGCATGTACTCCGGCGCCATGTACCCGAACGTTCCTGACATGTGCGAGGTCTTCACTATTGTCTCGTGTTCCGTCCCGAACACCCTCTCGCCGATCCTTGCCAGACCGAAATCCGCTACCACCACATGCAGCCTTTCCCCGGAGTCATCGCCGAGAAGCACGTTGCTGCTCTTGATGTCCCGATGGATGATCGGTGGGTCGGCACCGTCGTGAAGGTAGGCTAGCCCCTTGGCGATCTGCAAGGCGATGCAAATCCGCTCGACCAGCGTCAGAGACGGGAGAGCGGGTTTACCGGGAACAGCTTTCTTCCTACGGTGAAGGCGACCGTACAGACTGCCACCTGGAAAGTAGGGGTACACCAAGATGGATCGCGGCCCCTCGTCGCAGTACCCAAGCAATCCGATGAGGTTGGCGTGATGGAGTCTGCTCAGAGTGTTTACCTCCGCGACGAACATAGTGCGCTTGGCGGGAGTAAGCTCCCCCGACATCAGCTTGATTGCCACCTGTTGCTCGCCTATCGAACCCCAGTAAACGTCACCGAATGCCCCGCTGTCCCCGATACGATAGCCCTTGCTGAACCCATCGGTGCAGTGCGAGAGCAGTGTGAGCGGGAACCTCTTCATCTCCATAGGCCGAGGCACCTCTCCCTCCAGTTCAAGGCCTTCATACCCAGACGGCGCGCAAGTCGTCCTCGTTGTGCTAGATGCACCCGCGGTAAGCAATGGAGACGGAGATCTCCACCGTCCGATGACCCCGCCTGGCTGGCGGCCTTTCCAACAGAGGATACCTACGCAGGCAATAGCGCAAATTAGTGCCAGTGATACGAGCGACACCCCGACAATCACACCACGATTGGCGGAGTGCGAGGAAGAAGAAGAGCGCGTTTGGGGCTCTTGTTTAGCGGAAGAGGGAGTACYGTCTGCGGAAGAAGACGGAGAAGAAGAAGACGAAGAAGCAATCCACGTGTCGGATGAATCGGGGACAGGAGGAAAATCATCTGCGGGCATGCTGGATGGGGATGCACAAGCATGCAGCTTAAAGCGGTCAAGTTTGAGCTCGAACAAGGAGCCATCGCCGGCTCCAACGTACAAGAGCATCTCGCCGGCCTGTTCATGAAAAGCCAGTCCCCGCACGAATTGATTAACGCTTCTCGCCACAGTCTCCGCACTGCGCGCCGTGCTGCATGGGGAATCGAGCTTCAGCCAGCGTAAGCGACCGTTACGGGAATCAGTGGCAAAGATATTGCATCCGTCCGCAGTGGCCACGATCTCGCCCAGCCACTSGAACGACGAAYYAAGTCCATCCCCGTCCGCATATGCTTTATTGCCAGATCCAGCGATGAGAGTGGCAGCGGTTGGTGAGGTCGAGGACGAGGGATCGATCCCCCACACCCGCGAATTGTCTCGATCAAAGAAGTAGAAACAGGTCCCGTCTGCAACGAGCGTTTGTCTCCCAACTACTACATCAGAGATATTCCGCGCTCCGCTACCGGTGAATCGTCCGACCGTCTTCCATTCTTGGCTGTCGATGGGAAGCCCGGACTCTCCTACGGCCGTGGAAAGGATCCGACAGGGAAGATAGCTGTCTGCGGAGAAGAGCTGTGTCCTRYTGGGATTGAAAGCAACGCCCCTCAAGGAATCAGCTGGGGCACTGACGGCCACGTGGCTTCCATTGCGCGTCGAAATAGCGGCGATCATTGGCCTTCCTTCTGCAGCTTTACCTGTCGGATTCAAGCCCACGATGAGATACGCCGCACTTGCCGTCAATTCCATGCCCCAGGAATCGGCCATAGAAGTACTTAGATCCGTCTGATGGCGAAGGATAAACGGCGAGGCATTTGCCGAGCCTACAGCCTCGTCATATGGCCACCAGTAGGTAATCACTTCGTCCTCGGCGAGCGTTCGAAGCCCTTGATTGACCTGCTCTAGATCTACTTTCCTGAACGAGGTGCGCTCGGCGACGAGCTCCGACGGCTCACCTTCATAACGATATTCGTGGAGAACGAAGAACAACAGAGTGGAGTTGGGAACAAAAACTATGTCTCGAATCACCGTGTAACCCAGCCGCCTACCGCTCTTCGGATCATCACCTAGGAACGGTGCCAGGGGCCTTCGGTGCATAACGAGTCTCGCATCAAGGATAAGAGCAGAATCCAGCAGCGTCAAGTTTGAGGAAGGCTGTGAGTCTGACGACGGAGATTCCAGCGACTCCATGGCCAAGCTACTAGGGTCAGTAGCCTGAAGCAGGCGAGAATAGGGAACGAAGTGGTTTGGTGAGCCGGTGGGTAGGTGARAGGGTTGGTAAGTGGGTCGGTAGTGAGCRGACAGGTACTCGACATCGACAGCCCGCCGTTGCTCTGCCGCGTGGACGACGACGGCCGCACAGATCATCGCCAGCACAAGTACCGAGCATCCAGCCGGACCACGTGCGACATTACGAAAGACAGACAGAGGGAGAGATGAGGCCAGAAAGCGGGAAAGCAGACCGAGGGAATAGAGTGTGCACACCTGCCGTCCATAGCTCGGCAGGTCGGAGCACTCAAACAAGGCCGCCATCGCCGCCAACGAGAGAAAGGCAACTCGTATTCTCGAAGGGACATTGGTCAGAGACACACGAGCTCCATGGCAACTACGCAACGGCCAGTCGAAGGTGCGAGGCGAAAATTAAAGGGAAGAGGAGTGAGCGAGGGGCAAAGGAAGCGGGAAAACCGACAGAAAGGAAGGATATTGTACACGTGCCGTTGCCTCTTTCGCTAGCTTCGAGCTGTGAAAAAATAGCGCCATCACCGACGAGCACAGAGTTTCACCAACCACATACCCGAGCATTCGCCCGACCTTCTGACGAAGCTCTCTCTCTGTGTGTGTGTGTGTGTGTGTGTGTGTGAGTGTGTGTGTGTGTGTGTGTGTGTGTGTGTGTGTGCTGCGAACTGATTGGCTGTATGTGAAAGAAGGATATGGTTGGTTCGTCAACCGTCAGATGCACTCCGTCGCAGATCTTTTTTCTGATTTTTGTTTTGGGCTGTAGTTGGAGGGTCGGAATTTGTTGCCGCAGCAGCCTAGCTCAGTTGGTAAGGCTGGCAAGTGGCATTCAGGAGGTCGCGGGTTCAATTCCCATTGGCCGCATGTACCTTCCTGGGCATTGACGCGAAGAGAACGAGCGTTTCGCTCCCAGGTTTAGGTTGTCGCACGACTGCAAACAAGAACCAATTCTCCACAAGTGGGGCAGGATCCACGGGTCCGTGCTACCAAAATCTCACGGTCGCAGTGTGAACTCGTAGAAACCAGAACAGAAGCTCCACAAGTGGGGCACGGCCCTGGCAATGCTCTGGGCCATGGAATTGTGTCCACTATGATCCGATTCCGCCTCTTAGAGGAAGAGTTTCGGATTGAAGTATGCTCTCGGGTTCTATGAGGTCCCGTCAAAAGCGAACACTGGGTAATGCTCCCAGAACCGGGTAGAATTGTGAGGTCCCTGGCCTCAACATGAATTTCGTAATATGAGAATGCTTCTGTGAAATAAAATAAAAAAAGGCCTCCCGGCATTACACACAAAACGAATGGGCTAGTTTGTTTGGCCCTCGTCCCTCGGCAGACGAATGGCGCACATAGCAAACAAAGGGGGCCACAAACAGATGCCCAAACCTCACGCCCTGAACAACTTACCTGTAGAAGTGACATACACAGACGTGACATACACAGGCAGAACAAAGAAACAACTCCAAAAAGATGCCAAGGATTTTTGGAAAATTGAGTGTGGAGACCCAGACATACACAGGCAGAACAAAAAAATAACTCCCAAAAGATGCCAAGACCCGGAGGTGAACAATAGGCGGCGGGAGCACAGAGGACATGCAAACACAGC